TTTTAAATTATTTATTTATACAAATTCAGCTATTTGAGTGTAGGGAGTGAGCTTCTTGGCATATTGTATTAAATAGTTCAAACTGAAAGTAAATTAGATCTATTCTCGTGGGGGAATTCTTACGACTATCGTACACTGGATCCTCAAAGATTAGTACAAGCAGTACTGTACACTGTTACGTAATATAATTTCATCTTCTTATACTATATTATAGTTTCATTTGCTTATCGATAATAGAGAGAGAGAAATATTGTCCCTGGGAAATGTATTTATGCATAAGAAAGTAAATAAGTAAACTAAGAAATAGATTAGAAGAACTGCGTACCCCAAATTTCCGTCCCTTCACTCGGTTTATCCATCACTTCACTGAGTTCCCTCATCTGTTTCGGAGTCCTTTGTCGCACTCTAGATCGTGCTTCCACACCTTTTCCTCCCCTCCGCTTTTCCTCTCGACGTCTTTGCTTTGATCGCATCGTGTCCGTGTTCATCTCGTCGAGCCTCGCATCGGAGCTCGCATTGAGCGCCTCCCGGGAGGCAGCGCCGGTGACGCACGTGGGGGCTGTTCATTCGATACAGCGCGGCGATTAAAGCAACCCAACTTCAAGTATCGACACATCCATTGTAAATGGTGTGTATATATATATATATATATATATATATATATATAAGATAAAATGAGGAAATGCTATTACGCACTCTCATGGCCATTATACTTGTTACGAGTAAAATATATTTTTTACTGGCGCACATAAGCAACGCTTCCGCACTGCAATGCATTGCACTTCACATGCTACTGGTTACGTGATTGTTAATCACGTTTTACGATACGATCTTCAAAAATGTCAATAGACGAAAGACTTTCTCGCGTGTGTGGTTCCATTTCTCTCTGTCTCTCTGTCTCTCTGCCCCTCTCTCTCTGCATCTCTCTCTCTACCTCTCTCTGTCTCTGTTTCTATTTGTTTCTCTCTCTCTCTCTCTCTCTCTCTCTCTCTCTCTCTGCGTATCTTCCTCTGACTCTCTCTGTATCTGTCTCTCCCGGAAGAAATTTCACTGCTGGGGTAGAATACGAGGGTTGCGTTGCCTTTTATCTTTCAGGAGTAGAGAACAAAAACAAATATTAATCATCGAAAATCACTTTATTGTTTTCAAAATATTCCCCATGAATAGACTGTTCTGCGTTGTTCTAGTGGTACGATTGTGACATGTCCAGTTTTTCCGAAAAAAAACAAACAAACAAAAAAACAGGCGACGATCTGTTTGGAAGTGCTTCGTGCGCGAACAACTTTTGTTGGATTTTGCTCATTTTGAAACACCCAAACACAGGCTACTGCTGGGTTTAACAGCTTTCGCGGGCTCATACGCGTAAATCTACGATTCATACCTGTCACGAATGTCATAGAATACGTGTTTCGAAGCACCGCGAATCGTATGTTTTGAGCATTTCTTTCGACTAATCGACCATGAAGCCTTTTTGGGTGGTGTTGAGCCCGATTGGACAAAATTTGTGTGGGATCCAACTTTCGAACAATTTTTTTGGACTGTCAAATGTTCACTTCTTGCTATATTGAATGTATGCTGGTCCCAGCTAATGTATAAGGTTGTCTCAATCTCACTGTAGGTGCCATGACGATCTTGCAATATCCAGTTCACGCGCACAGCATCAATGGTTTTCGGAACAACTGATTTCGGACGAACTTCGCGAAATTCGTCGTGGAGTGAACTACGATCACGATTGAATTTCACCATATCCATCGACTAAACCCTGGTC